TTTTATAAAGAAAACAGACTACAAAAAGGTTTAGATACCAATCATAGATGGCAGGACCAGTGCTGAAGTGAAAGGAAATATCTTTAAAAAATTTTTGAAAAAAAAACATTTCTTCTTAGAAGGCGCTTATTTATAGTCTAAAACTTATTTTAGGAATTTTTTCATTAAATTTCTCTTTAAACTTCATTAAAGAATACAATTTTGTACAAATAATTGAATGTTATGCTACTATTTATAAAAATAAAATCAGAAATCCATTAAAAGATAAGTTCTCTATCATTTTTTCAATTCACAAATGCACACTTGCATTGCCTACTAAGAAAGTTAGTACCGGTACTGAGTTACATTCAAAATTTAATCAAACAACTTTACCATCAATGTACCTGAATGAAATTAACATTATAATGTATGTTATAATTTGAAGTTTTATGTTATACAAGTTCTAATTCCTTTATTTCCAAAGAAATCTTTAAAAAATACTTAAACTTCAGTTTTGTGTTGTCACATGACCCAAGAGCTAAGAAAAAAATCAACTTTAACACTTCCTGTCTTGACTCATATACCACCAATTCTGTAGACATATGTCTAGACAATTAAGTACTTTTAACTTGCCCTATTGATATATAAATTTCAAAGTCCTCTAGTTGAATGGAGTAGAAACAAGTACTAAATTTTGTCAACCCCTGACAAGTGCCATTCCCACCTTCAATACTTTGGCTTGAACTATATAACTTATATGTAGTTACTACATATACATGTATATAGTCATTAGAAAGAGCTCATTTTACACTATAAGCCAACATAAACAATGTTATAGTTAGAGAGACATTTAAAATGTATTTAGGTCTTACTTTTATATCTTAGTCATGTATTATTTATATTGTGAAATGCATAATTGAAAGGTTTAAGCATTTTTTTAAATATACATCATACTTTGCATCAGTTTCCAAGGCTTAAGATCTTGCACTAGTGGAAGATAAGTTTGCTTAAGGCTTGTACATCTCTAATGAAGATATTGTAATTATGCTTGAAAGGCACCTATGATTTGTGCTGAGATGAGTAATAAAAGGTAAAGGACAAGAAAGGAAAATAAAATGTTAAAAATTAACTATGTGAAAAGGAAAAGACCTGAAATCATCAATATAACAAAAAGAAGATCTCTTAAGATATCCTAAGACATTTTGAAAGGTACATCCGTTTTTTCTTTTTTAATTTTAAACATTTAATTGCACTCTATGGTGATCCCAACATCTACAGTTAGTAATATGATAAAGAAAGAAAATAAAAATATAAACATTTACTTTAAAAAAACTTTTGCTATTCATTTAGCAGGTTCTAGAGGTTATGCAAATGAAATATGAAACTATAAGATGAAGAAGAGTATTTTTATACTTAAAATGAAAATCACCTTGCACTAAAACAATTAAGTTTTAGTGCAAATAATTAAAATAGTTAAATAACATACGTTTAGTAGAAACAACTAAAATAATGTCATTCTTTGTGTACAAGATACTTATAATCTTTAACAAAATCTTACCAGTTTTTTGTAAGGGTATATTAAGAAATCTCAACTGTAGTAAGTATTGTTGCACAAGTGAAATGCAAGTATGGGCCCTCTGTTGCAAAAGGGTTATTTGCAAAACACATTTTGTAAAGAACTGCAACACAAAACATAAACTTGATGGGAAGTAATTTGAAATTATATCAAGCAAAAAATCCATATTGTAACGATCACAATAACTTTATGTTAATTAAAAGATAGTTGTTTTTATTCTATCCTTATTATGCTAATAAGCTCTTGTGAATAATGTATTGTATTGTGCTCACCAGCATTTTTGTATAAACTTCATGTTTTTGTTTTCCAAACACACAATTTGATTTTTTTTACAGTTTATTTACAAGAATTATATCATTATTTTTTTTCTTTGGAAAAATAGATTCTCCAAATATTGATCTCTAGCGATGCTAAACAACTGTTTAACATGTTTTGAAACATGCAATGAACTACATACCACTAATAACTATAGAGACACTTAGATATTACATTAAGTGAGAGACATAATAAACTTCCTTATTTTGAGAAATAACAAGCAGGTATTAATAGGACTGTCATATCCATACTTTTGCATGTTAATTCTCTTGTTCATCTTACAATTCTTGCAAATAGTCAGATACACTTTTTGCAGGTATGTATAATACTGTACAGATGATGCAACTCCCAGAAAAACATGTTTATAAAGAGTTTTGATATTAAGGGTTATTTTACTTAGTGGAGCATATTTAACCTATTAAAGTTTGTTACCTATGAAAAGTTTGTTTTGGAGTTTATCTTGTGGAGGAGGAATACCCATGCTAGCTTTAAGTCTTTCAGTTGCTCTTCCTTGAATTTCTGGAGCATTAACAATGGTAACCAGTCACTCGTGAGATATCCTATGTCAATACAGACTAGGCATCCCTCCCACTGCAGCACCTTCAGCATAACTTCTATTTGCCTCTCAAAGGTGATAGCTGTATTACACAGCTGGTTACATTCTTACTGCTCCAAGGAAGCATGTGCAGAGGTCGTTTAATCAACTCCATTCTCGCTCTCATACAGTTAAGGGTGGCATAAAACAGTCTGTTTGGACTATCATGGTCAAAGAATGCCTGGCAGTCCTGTAAAGACAGTTCCATCTAGTCTCAGACTTGCTAGACCTCATACTACTGCAAGGGTTGTCAGTCTGTGTCTCCTGTGCACTGATGTTAAACCTTGGGTGAAAAACCTCATGAGCCACTAAAAGTGCACCAGATATCAGCAATTCTCCTTCTTGAGTCTCTGGTCATACCAAGATAGAAGTTATGAGCTCTTGCAGTATCACTGCTCCTCAGTGCCTATCTATTCTTTTTGGTCATAAGTTTTTGACTTTGAAAACATTTTCTCAAGTGTGAAGCCTTGACTCAATAAGAGTTCAGAAGAGCATAGGCAAGACACTTATCAAGAGAAACATAAGTACTCTATGAAAACAAATACTGTGCTCATGGCACCAAATTTGTTCCTTTCTACTCTGTGGCATTCTTAGGTTCATTGATTTTTGTTAATAAGGTAGGACCTGCAAAATAACTCAGAAGACTCAGTAGAAAATGACTAAGTCCTCTTAACTTGGACTGAATTTGAAGCAAAAGCACCAAATGAGACTAGGCACAACTTAAATTATCTTTATTTTGACACAAACACAATCAAAGCTAAAAAAAGAGAGAAATGTATCATATGGTGCCTTCATGTGAGAGCCATCTGCATGCTTATCTGTTAAAATCTCTAAATAACTCTCATTACAATTTACCCAACATTGATGCACAGGAATTCCCGACTGTCACTATCAATTTTTATACAGTATGCTCTACATTACAGCAATCTTTCCTTCTTGAAAGCGCATATGACCCGATGAGTGACTTAGACAACAGGAACTTAGTGGTTCCCTTGACTGACTTTCTATATTAAGACTAAATACTCAATATGCAGTAATATTTTGAAAAATTATATATCAATTATATATCCCACATACCACAGTATTAAAACATGAAGAAATTTTATCTAATTTATTTTAAGACTATAACCAAAAGGTTGCTGTACATTACTTTGAAGTGACTACTTTTGAGGAACTGTGCCACTAGTAAAGCAATGCATATTACCCCTCAATAAATTTCCAGCAATAGAAGTACCGTGCTTACTATAAATACATTTGTTTTATGTTTTAGAAAAAAAAAAGTACAGTTTTCTCAGTTGCTTTCATTCCTGAAAAGTTAAGTTCAATTCTTCACCTTTTACACTCTACAATACTAACTGAGAAAAAAAATACTGGGTGCAGAGATAAATGAACTCCAGAAATCACTAAAAAGATAGAAAACACTAAGTTAATATAACATGTTAGTTTTATCTTACAATGTTATTACTATATGAACAAATTTCCTAATTCTAGCAACTTTTCAGGCCTCAAATGTACAAGTATCTTTTGCTCTATCAATGCTGGAAATGACTATTAAAAGAGCATTTCATGTATCCAAGATTACACAAACAAATCATTATAATTTTGATATTTATGTTCTAAGTTATATACTCATGAAAATGAAATTTAGATTTTTTTTTTCTTTTTGTTTCTGGCAAAAGTAAGATTGATTACCCTGTCCAATTCTACCTAAATAAATGAAGTTTAGTAGAAGTTTATTTTATATTTTCTTCTTATATAGTGACATTTAATAGCTTTAGTTTCCATCCCCAACCAATCTACAGCATGTGTTAATTACATTTCATCATCTTTCTAAAGTGTTGATGATATTATTCTAATATTCTGATCCATTTCTAATTTATGATTTATAATCAAGTTTTATATTTTTTAATAGAAAAACAACAAAAACAAACTTGTATAGACTTATCTGTATTAAACTCTAAATTAAAGCTTACCTGCTTGAGAAAATCACGTATAACATTGTATTCTGACACCTGTGATCCAATTGCAAAACGTTTTTTCAGCTGTTTTTCTATGTGAATTAACATCTCATGTTCTTTTGCAGTAGTAAAACTCTCCACACCAGCTAAAGAACCAGACATTGCAGCATCAAGTGTTGAAACCCGAAACAAACGAAGTGCTTCATCTATATGCGTTTCTGTAGCAAATGGCTTTAATTCCATCTTAGCTAAAGACTCCGAAATCCGAATAATAGCTTCAAGTTGCCTAGCAAAAATTAACATAAGAACTAACGAAAAACTGTTGATAACTTATGTAATATCACAAATGTAAAATGCAGTCTTAATATGAAAATGATTTATAAGAATAACCCAGATTTCACAATCAGAATAATTGAAAAAATGTATATAATTTCTATACAAATTTTCACTGATGTATATGACTATACATAGTTATTTGTAATTAGTCTAAAAACTTAAAAAAATTAGAATCTTGTATAGTATGCTATAACATCCTCTTCCACAACAAATATCAGAACCTATCATTCTGTGAGCAATACCACATTCTGTCATTGTAAAGTTTAATTTTAAATTATTTATGCCCATCAAAGTACTTTTGACCAAATATGGTAGCATAACGTTCATATTAGTTTAACTCTTTAAGAATGGGCATCATGATGATGCTCTCCCATACAGGCCACAAAAAAGGAAAAAATAGCTGATTTGTATAGGTACATTTATTTACAATTTAAGCATTTTTACATAGAAAGAAAGTGTGTCATATAGTGCCACGACATCAAGCATGCAGATGGAGATTAAAACTGCAACAGCTGCCCTGATATGGCTTGAGGATTAGACATGTAGTATTTGTCACTGATTCACAAAGCATGCTGTGTAAAATAGAGACAGGATAGCTCCTTGTGGAATGTTTACAATTTCTGCAAAAGTCATTTGTGAAGAGCCTAGTATGGAGATTTTTTCTTGGTCATGCTGGGGTCCAAGGAAATAAAAGGGCAGACAAACTGGTTGGTGATGTTTTCACTGGAGCAAGTTGAGGCCACAAAAAAACAGAGTGTGAAGGCTCTATGGGAAATCTTTAAGCACAACTCCAGAGATGCTGAAGAAGCAGTGATGGAAAGACTTGCCAGGAGAAATAACAGTGGATTGTACAATCAATATGTAACAGGAAAAATCAGCACTTCCACACTTCAATGGCTACTGAGGGTGAGGACTGAGCATGCATGGGAATGTCCCAAGTGCAGGGATGTCAGCCCTTCAACCAAATGAACCACTGCAATCAACCCATGAGGCATGGTGCTCTGACAGTGCTGCAGCCAATTGCTCCCTAGAGATTTGCAGCAAGAAATACCTTGGACATTGCATGACATAAAAACTGAAAAGTTTCAAGTTGTAACCTGCATTTATGCTAACATTTGACAGCAGTTCTAGCCATGAGTGACAAAAAAATCATACGAGACAAGGTAAACTCCAAACAGAGAAATGTTAGGCCTCCTCTGCAGAGGACAGCCTTGAATATTGCTAGTTCACTGCTACATACTTGTTGCTGTAGACTACTTCATGAAGTAGGCTAAATCTTATCCATAAGTTGATGTGGTAGCACAGACCATCAGAGATGTGTTAGCTGAGAACTGGATGACATAATTTGGAGCACTTGAAGAAATTCCAACTTCAACCACATACTCCCTGTGAACATGATGTATGATTTTTCAATGATCCTAAGAATACATTAAGTGGCTAAGCTTAACAAAAGTGGAGCACACAGTTTTGCCTGACAACTCCAGAAGGATGCACATTAACAGAAGTACTATGATTGAATGTGAAAGAAAAAGGTTCAAAAGCAGAGTGGATATTTTTGTGGTACATGACAGTAATTTTGATCCAGATGAACCGTTCCATGCTTGGTACTCTGGCAAGTTTGTACTGTAATATACAAACTACAACAGACCCAAATGCATGTGAAAACACGTAGAATACATCAATAAACTGCATCCTTACTTCACAGACAAATCTTTGGTGTAGTGGTTTGACCAGGAGTCTGGAGAGGAAACCAATGAGCCAGGGGAAAAGGACATGATCTTGAGTCATCCAGACCTACATGATGAAGGAGAGGAAGTTACCGAAACTTATCTAGAAGTATTCAGCAAACCAGATGTGGTGTTGGTGCAAATGGAGCAACCACTAGCTCTGTCTGCTGGACAAGATGCCAAAGTCAGGCTCCCAATGAAAATGGGTGGGATTGATCAAAGTTAAGGTAGTGTGGTGGTAAAAAGATTATTGACTGTAAGGATGTTTTGAGCTGTCAAGAACTATTGGAAGCAATGTATACATTACACCAGGTCTCCCAATGTGTCCTACTTTCCAACCTTTTCACAACGTTTTTGGGAGTCCCTATTTTCCATAATTTCTCAGGTGAAATTTCCATTTTTTCCTAATTTTTGGTTTAGCTCAAAATGAAACACAAAACTTGTTGCAAAAACACAGTTTTATTTTGAGTATAGTTTAACTGCCTTCATTATTAATTTAAAAAGGGCCTTCCATTTCATTTGAATGTTAAATTAGACTGACCATTTTACAGGGGTCAACTATGGCTCATTGTTTGAAATTAAAATGCTTGATTAATGAAGGTTTTTATTATTTATTTATTTTAGGTTTTATCCACATTTAAGGTGGCCAAGGTATCTCTGCATTTTCTTTACTTCTTTTCCTTTTGTAGTTTTACTTTTTGAAATTATAAGTATGTACTTACACACTGCTATATTTACGATAAAGAGAATGTTTTTTTATTGTTAAAGGGCATTCTTTGTGTTAAATAATGCATTACTTTGAATTTTCATTTGAAAGATTAAAGCCACGGGACTTTAATGCATAGTATATTAGAGCTCAAATTAAAATTGTGCTTTCTTTTGAAATTTGTATTTTGATGTTGTGTTTAATTTTAAGTATATTAAAAGATTGTGTTTTATCATTATAATTAAATATAAAATATGAAATTAAAGAAATTTTGTCCTGGAACTAAAGGTAAGTCATTTTTAAAAAAAATTATGAATTACATGTGGTGTGTACAAGTCTATAAGAATTAAGTACACATTTTCCTTGACCATATTGTAAGTTTAAAGTTTATTGGTTTAAAAGTTAAATGTTGTGTTTAGAACAGGCATAAAAGAGAGAAGGAATGAACTGTGTAATATGCAAGCATATCACATTTTATACTTGCTTTTGTATTTGGTGTGTATGCAGTTGTATCATAAACACCTGGTCCAGAAAGTTATTGAGAGTGCCTTGTTCTAGTTGCTTTTTCCTCTACACTATAAAATGTCTATTCTGCTCAAGACGATATTACAGTAGCATACAGTATCCAAATTAGAAGAATTAGTGACTGCAATAACCTCTGCTGGCTGAGTTGATGTTGTCTGAATATCAAAGCCAACCAATGCTGTGAAAGATCAAAGGTCACAAGTTGATGCTTTCAACCAGAGAAAGAAACAAAATTTACCTGCTGAATTCAGGAATGCTTTCTAAGTTTAGTTCAAGAGAAGTTGTGATCATTTTGTCAAACTTGTCCAGTCTAATTATTTTACATACACAAGATAAACTTACTCAGATTATCAGATTCAAATTACTCTTCTTACTTCCCAAGCAAATCTGTTGTTATTAGCAGGTCTAACTATCTAAATCCATGCTGAAAAATCAGTTTCTTACTGAACATACTTCACTCAAAGGTATTTTTTAAAAATAATTTGTTAATTATTAACACAGAAAATTTCTTTTTCAAAAAACATTTTCTGATGAATAAGCAAATTCTTGCATATCAGGTGAATTGACTTAATTTCACTGTGCAAGACTTCCATCAACACATAGGAAAAGAAATAAAATTCTTCTATTAATCTAGGTGTGATTATTTATAATTGTAAGCCACATATATAAAACAAATTTAACAAAAACTACTACCTACAACATCAAACTAAGCCCACAAACAATTATTTGTACCTATAAAAATATATATATATATATATATATAATAAAACACACACACACACACACACACAATGCTTTAACCCTAATGCCACGGGTATCCTTTTCTATGCATGATACAAGGTTTAGGTATCTTACATTCAAAATTTTATTAAACTACTTTTCGTCTATGTTATATCAATTAGTATAGAATAAAATCTTAGTTAATAATCTATATATTAATAGTACATAAGTTAAGTTCTTAATTTTATAATAACAACAAAAAATCCTGAATTTCCCCAAATGTAACACACATGACACATTTTCTCTAGGTATCTTCTTTACACTATTTTATCTGCCACCCTTCCAGTAACTATGAAATTCAATGTAACTTATTGACTATAAAATCATCATTGCTCAAACAAACCATAAGTTTGAAAGCCTTAAATATTGTTTAATTACAGAGCTACCATACAGAAAAAAAGGCTGCTCCTGCCACACTCATCAGTCACATCACCTCTTTCAGGATTTGTTAATAATTCTCTCTTACATTTAATTATATATTACCTATAACCAATAGAAAGCCAAGGTTTTCATTTTTCAAATGACATATTGTATAATGGTGTGTTCTGAACAGAAAATTGTCAACTTCACCAGAAGTACAGCTTTCATCCCATGGGAACAGTAACAACTAGCTTGGATACATTTGTAATGACTCTTGTCACATAGTTAGAAAGCCAGAAAAATCGTGATTGTTAGAGGAAACTGTCTGCTTTTTGCATGTTATTATTTTATGGTTTTTGATGCATTATTTAATTAAATAAAACTTATTTCATGCACTACTACCATTAGTATAAAAAAGTAGGGTTAAATTTCATAGATAATAGACAACAACAACAACAAAAAAAAAAGGAAGAAAAAGAAGAAAAGAATACTTGGGTAACTACTTTCTTGTTTTTTGTGTTTATTCTTTATTTATTATTATAAAAGTAACTAAAATGTAAAAATAAGGATCTCTTGAGACTAAGTAAAATAAATAATAATATTATAATATAATAAAAATATTTCACAAGGCACTCACACAAACAGCTTGTGCATAAGGTAACTCAAGAGTGTAACATGAGCTACATGTTTCCCCAAGTGATTTACAATTTATAATGGCAATAGTAATTAGACACAATTCAAAGGGCAATAAAACAATAAAATTTAATCATAAATAGATGTATAGTCTTACAAGTTTAAAGCTACTTAGGATAAACGAATGCAGTTTCATGTTACATTTGAAGTCATTCTAGAATGAAAAAGACGGTAAATTAATTTATCTGAAGATTTTTTTGGTGGTTATAAAGTTGATCAAATTGACCAACCTTGTTTAGAGTTAGGGTGGAGAAAATAACAAAATATAAGTTTTACTGAAAACAAGCATCTGAAATGTATTTATGAGGTTTTACAGATTACACAAATGATTTTTGAGATAGAAAAAGTATTTTTAATCTTAACATGAAAAACCACTTTGCACACAGACTATTCAAAATAAATACTCGATATATTCAATGACAAATCTTTTCTAGTTTATTTAAAATACTTCACTAAAAATATGTTTTTTTTTGTATGTGAAAGACTGGTAAATTTTGTGAAGATATACACACTATATTAAAAGTTAGTAGTATCAAATCTATAAACACTTTTAATGAATACAAAGATGTCACGTGGTCGGTCAAATTGACGGAACCCGCGTTAAGAGAGTTAATAAATTTACACATGACAATATTTACATTATAGATGTTATGTAAATTAACAAGCAAATTGAACCATGTTACAATGAAGTCTTAATAGTTACCAATAGGTGAGTGTATATATTAACTTCAAACATACAACTGTGAATGTTAAGTCACTATTATGTTAATTGAAAAGTTGGGTACTATGTGAACCCAAATCACAAATATATACTGGTTGTCCAAATTTCTGCAAATGTATGTTTTCCATAGGAAGATGACGCTTTGGCCTATAGAACCCTACGAAGTGATAGTATTTTAGAAGGCTTGACAATTAGTTATAAATTAGCAGGTTTATTTACCCAAGTACATCAAAGAACCTTTTGAAAGATTTCATGTAAAGGACACCAAACACCCAACTGTGACAGTACAAGTAGTCTCTGATATTTAGAGAATTATGATGTATAAAATTTAAATATATTTCAGCTGATGTCTAAAATATGTTAAATCCAACTGCTCCAAGAGTATATAATCATTACTGTTAACATCTATGAACTAATCTTAGCAATTACAGCTAAAAAATGCAGTCACACAGAATCTAAAATTTCCATGAGTTCAACCCATAACTAATTTCTAAAAACCTATTATTTTTAAGTATAATAAAGTCGTTGATATATATGCATGTATATGGCTTTACTTAAAAACACTACATAAGACTATAAAATAAATTTGTACAAGTTGAAGTACTAATGTTGGCTTCCCGTCAATAAGTGGTTATCTGTATCTGCTACGTACCTGGTTTTATTTCCGTAAAATCTAAGCAAAACACCTACTATGGAGAATTAATCTATCTGGAATTAATAATATGAACTTAAAAAGAAAAGCAACCTTCTGGACTATTCATACCTTACTGTAATTGGGATACTTGATTTCTTTTCTATTTCCTGCTCGTATTCTCTTGAACCATTTCTCATTAGTACATACCGATTCTTTAATTTGTCTCCTGCCTCTGCTGACAACCTGGGTCCACAATTTCTAAACAAAATAAAGTGAAGCTTAAGTAATTGTTTCATAACACATCATTATGAAGTTTTCACGACAATAAGTAAATGGATAAAATATGCAAATTTTTAGTCATATTGTAACTATAGTCAACTAGGTAAAAAAAAAAGAAGAAAAATCCAATTTCTTGGCTCAGATTGTTTTAACTGCTTTGTTTATAAGGATGCAAATTTGCCCTAATTACAGTTTTATATTAGTATCTTAACTTCCACTTTATTGACTTTAAATCTTTGTTTTAAAAAAAATACATATATAATTTTTGACTTCTTCAAATATTTCTCTCACTGCCTAAGCATGGCTGTAGCTATTACTGGGAAGTATTAGAAGAAAAACATGCTAAAAATAGACTGCTCTCTCTGTAATTTTTAAACCAATCTTAGCCTATCTCTAATTTTTGAACTAATCATAATCTATGAATTGGTTTTGGTTTCTATAATTCTAGCAAGTAAGTTAACATACCTGGTTTATTTGTGTATGTGCATATACACTTTCCATTATAGACAAAATTAAGGTTCAAACTACAGTACGTTAAAAATAAAATGCACCTTTATAAAAGGGATATTAGTGAAAATAGGTCACAAAGATATAGGAATAAACTGTATCAAATTTAAGAAAAATAAAATTATTAACAGATATTTTACTAGAGCCCATAATTCTTTATATATAAACTGTCATTCTCAGTCTTCAGCCAGTTGTGGGAAAGTAGTAGTCTTAATAAAAATTCAAAAATGGGAAAGTGTTCGCTCATTCGAACAGAGGTGAAATTTCTTGGGTACAATCTGGAGAAAGATGAAGTGTCAATGGACCCGATTAAGATAGCTACAGTGAGAGATTAGCATCTATCCATGATAAAGGAAGAAGTTTGCAGTTTCCTTGGTTTTGCATCATATTACTGATGACTTTGGCCAATTTCTTGAAAATACCAGCACCATTGAAAGTGGAAGCTAATTTTGAACAGGATGAGGAACGTGCCCACATATTCTGGTCCCTGAAGTTCGCTTTAATGGATCCTCCATTGTTTGCCTATATCTGTCAATACTGTCAGTTTCTATTGGTTGTCAATACCAGCAACAACAAAATTGGATCAGTATTATTGCAGTTGCAGGATGAAGAACAATGTATAATTACGTACGTTAATCATACACTCACACCTAACAAATGCAGATGTTGTACAAAGTGCTGCTTTCAGTTTTTGTTCATAAAATACTATTACTACTACATCTATAATAGAAAGTACTTCAGTTCACTGAAATGGTTAGTAAATTTAAAAAATCTAGAAGGGACAATAGCACATAGAATGAATGTATTACAAGATTATGACTTTGTTGTGGTTCATCACCTGGACCTGTAAAATTAAAACCAGGAAGACTACTTTGCCACATTTGTGAGATGTTGTTTGTTCTTGTAATGTGTTCTGATCATGAACACTGTGTAGTAGTTAAAATCATGGTGATTTCTGCCATAGAAAATGGAAACCATAAAGGAGAAGACTCTACAAGTAGATGGATACCAAAGTTAACACTTTAGCAGCTTCAGTTCCAGTAATTGAAAGACCGTGCTCTTGCTTGGCCACTTCTTGCGATAAGGAAAGGTCAAGTCCAACCAACAGTAGTAGAGGAGTATAGCACAGATGCATGTAACCTGTGGCTCTACATAAGTAGTTACAAGTGGAAAAAAAGTGTACTGTACCATTGCTATCAACCTGTAATACATACTTCTCTGACAATGCTACAGCACATCTTCCTCAGACCTTTTCTGCAAGATATAATCCAGACTTTGCCCAAAACAAAGACTGGAGGGAAACAAGGTGTAACCCATACTTGTACTAACATTTGACAGTGGTTCTTCTGACTGCAAGTGAGTTAAGATGCTCAGTGTTGATAAGAGCACTGTAGGGTGTGTGTCACCAATAGGCAAACCCAGATGGGACAGGTTACACTCCAACTAAGAACTGCAGAGTCTTCACTGCAGAGGATAGCCAACTTCACAAAGTGGGTTGAAGCTTACCTATAAATCAATGATGATGATGACATTGTACATTTGCTGTTATGTTCAACTTATATTAAAGTTTTTCTTCATTACCCTTTCAAGCCATCTCCAACCATTATTTACTAAAGTTTGTCTGGTTATGCTAAGATTATAATTTTTACATTTAATTACTTTTGTTCAAAAATACACCACAACAAATTAAACAATATACACATAAAAAAAAATATTTATAGTACTCATTACATAATTGAGTATATATATACTCTCATAAACCTCACAAATTTGGGTGTCCAAACCAAACTTCATATAGCTTTCAAATGTGCATTTTAGAACATAAGAAGATTAAAATGTCCCAAACCTACTATAATTTATTCTGTTTTAGAGGTAAACTATAAATAGGTTAAATAAATTATGACAGAATAACAATGACCATTGAATGAAAGACATCTTTACAAGTGAATAACCTAGGTGCAAAAACAGACAAGACATGGATTCATGTAGAGGAGAAACTTTCTTTTTATTGGTTATAAGCACATTTAGCTATGTAAAGTTGATTAGCAAAACAATGTCAAAAGTTCGAGAGGGACTTCAAACATTTAAAGAAATCAAGAAATTACTGTTAAAATTTTAGGTTTCTGCTTGTAATTATATACAATTTTTTTTCTAATTGGTGGGAAACTGCAGCAGCCTATTTTTAATGCTTGAAAATTCTGAAGAGGAGAAATAAGAACTTAGTAGTGTCATGTGACACAGAAAAATGAATATTTAAAAATCTATTTTTGGAATTAAAGTTCAACCTCAGTTAATATAAAAATTTTAATTAGAACTTAAGTTTTTATAGCAAATTTATTGAAATACATTGATAACATTGTTTAATTAAATCTTCAATGCAAAACTGAAAAGCGTCATGACATACAAACTTTGTCCCAACTACTCTTGAAGCTTTTTCTCAGAATTAAAATCTCTTCACATATTTCCATTTTGTTACCATTACATTTTCCAAGAACAACATTAAAAAAATTACTACCTCATTTACAGAACTGATTTTAAGTATTTTTGTTTTGCCACAAAGGATTTAAGGCATCAGACCAAGACAGCAAAAACTCCTAATGAAACAAATGCCAAAGATATTCTCAGCAAATTTAAACATGTATGTAAATCAACTAATATTTGGAGTTTCAACCATTATTCCTGCATGGAAATGACTGCACACAAGGAAAGTATATTCTCATTTTTTTATTAGCTAGTCAAATTAAAAGAAAGTGGGTTACTGATCTGTGAAGAACAACCATACTTGGTGTTTTCTTTGGCTTGTCTCATCAATAGCATGCAGTGACATTCTTTGATCCTGCACATAAATGCTTCAAGAGGCTTGTCTGTTGAATACAATACAATAACAAACCTAATTTTACTTTTCTCAACAACCTAGAAATAACAAGGGGATAAGAATATTGCATACTGATACGCTACTAAAATTCTTGAGGGTGTTGACATACTTACTTAGACAATCTTTGAGGATGCAAAATGCACTTCAAAACATGATGAGTGCACATGTCATGGATAGCAATAAAGAAATCTACCCAATACTCATGAGATTTTACACTTTTATTGGGAAATGCTAGGACAATCGGGATTGGTTATGTAATTCATCCAACTCTTAGCCAGTGTGATTACCTTACTCAGTCAAACATAGAAAAGACACAACTATTGTCTGCAGGGAACTATGATTTCCTATTTTCAAAAACATGGAACTTCTATAGTGTTTACAAATGGTACTCTAGACTTGTTTTCGAATGAGCTGAACCTGGGCAGCCAAACACAGTATCCTGCTTCTTTCCTGTGAGAGCAATATATTTTTTAAATTAGTTTAAGAAAAACCAACTAAACTTGAAAGAGTTCCCACTGAAGGAGATACTTTCAACAGTTGGCAAACAACTAGCTGTCTTCACAAATGTGAAAGACAAGTTCAAAAGGGTTGACTTGAACAAGGAAAAATGAAAAACTGCATTTTTCAACTTTAAGGACTAATCTTCATAAACTTCAAATGGAGTATTTTTGTTTTTATAGAAGTCAGAACCACTGGAATGTTGGAGAATAAAAGACACTTCATACTTTTAAGCACATCTATTGAGAGGTTTGGTTGTAGTTAAACACAAAGCTACACACGGGGTTATCCATGCTCTGCCCACCACAAGTTTCAAACCTTGTTTACTAGCAGTAACCCAACAAGAAGCTATTTTAACTAAGAGAATTAATCCTGGCCCCAAAATTATGCTAATTTAAGTTGATGTTGATGAAGAGAGGAGAGTTTACAGTCTAAAACTGATCTCAATATCTTTTCCAGGAATGGAAAATGAAACTGATACCTATATAATTATAGATATCAGATTGAGTACGATCAGCAAAGCAGTAATCAGTTATAATGGCAGCATACGAGATTTTCTTCTTGTACAATGCAAATAACTTTACTAGGACACCCTGAAATGGAAAGATCTATTCTACTACAATGAATGAAATATTGAGTATTGCTTTTACAGAAAAACTAGTAAGCAATTTTGCATAATGTAAACACAGAAAGAGTTGATTATTAACTATCTAAAGCTTATGAGCATAGGGGGAAAACCAGTTTTTCTTCCCATATTTAGTGAAGAAATTATTTAATACTGATGAAAATAAATTCATTAAATTTTCTTTCTTTTGCAGAAACTACTGTTCCACAAACTAACTGATTAATTAATATTATGATTAAATCTATTAATGTCACAAAAATAATCAACTAAACAAATTTAGGGTTTCCAATTGTTACTGTTTTTGATTATTCCAACTACCCAAGTAATCAAAATATTCCCATTATATTTGTTTATTCCTAAATAAAGATCAGGGTAGGGGGGTTTGAATTCAGGGCCTTGGGTACAATTCCCATTGTTACTAAACTTGCTTGCCTTGCCTGTTATTGCAAAGCTATTGAGGTTATTCCTGCTGTCACTAATTTTGAAGTGCTTACTAGAGGGAAGGCAACTGACGTATAAGCAAGTGTGGATTTAGGGAAGTACTTGAACTGTCCATTTTTAAAGAAATTAATAACTATTGTTTAATATTGAATAAGCAGACACAGATTTAAAAGAGTCTAACAACATAGCTGGAGTCTACATCAATTCAGTTAACATGTCATATTGGAAAAATAATGTTTACTACAATTTACTACTGTGCACTACAGGAAACTTAAATAAACTTTAACTTTGCCATACAAACAAAAATCAAACTTTTTAGTAAAATATTTCTACTAAAGATTTATCTGTAAATTTATGTAGCCTCTATAAAGTCAATCTGAGTGAAAGGTGAATTTCATCCTAAAAAATAAAAATATTTTTTTTCATCCTACAGTTCATATTTCATAACATACAGAACCTCCCAAATAAAAATTGTTTTTCAGTAAAACTATTTTATTCACATCTGGTTCTATTTAGTTTTATTTTTTTATAACAGTACTTAGATGATCTTACGAATACTAAAACCATCTATCGCAGCCAGACATCTTTGTAAAAGAAATGACGAGTTGTAATCATGCCACACTACACCTGTGTGTTGTTTCCTTGATATAGGATGTCGAGTATCACAAATAATTTTTGCAAATCATTTTCTTATTTACCTTCAGTTATATTTTTATATCTGAGATACTCATACAAAAGTTAATGAAAAAATTTATACATGTACTATTTTCTTAAATAAGCTATAAGTAGGTTAAAAACATTCCTTTGGCAATTTATAGCTTTATACCATGATTACAAACAATGAAATTTAGGCCACATATCTCCTTATGAACAACAAAATGAAACAAACCATAAAAAATTTTGTCAAGAAAATACTACTCTTTCTATTTTTTTTCATAGATAATCCAAAAACACTGTCAGAGAAAATTAATGACTTTTTTTTTTTGCAAGACAATGTTTTTACATCTCAATGAAGCAAAAAAGTTTGAAAGTTATAAATTTATATTATGGTTTGTCAGTATCTATAGTATAAATCTGTAATTAGTGGGACACTCCAACACTCATAAAAGTTTAGATAGAAAATAAAAGCACAAAGGTGTCAAGTGACACAAACAAGTGAAGACTGAAACTTTTTTATTTAAAAATTCCCTGTCAAAAATTATAAATTAAATTTAGATAACATAAAAAGTTTAATTACAAATTACATTTTGCTTTAATTTTATCATTATTCAAACCACACACACATTATAAATAACATTATTTATCACAAATGCTAAATTTAACAATAATTAAACAAATAAAACACAAAAAATAATCATGAGGAGAAACTACAGCAAGAAAACACAAAAACAAAAAAAGAAGTAAAATCAGTAATATGAAAATATTAAAAAATGTATAATTTAAATGAAGACTGCACATTGTTCAGTGTTGGAGAATGCTGTTTGATGTGGAGGGTTTCTTTAATCAATAATTCCAGGTCAGTATTAGACTTGCAGAGGATAGAAAAATTTGATAGCAGAGGTATATATCCTGTTTCTTCACTATGTTGACGTATAGAGGAAGCACAGGGGTTACTAAATTTTTTTTGGCATTTTGATGGAAATTCCCATATGTTCATGGGCTCCGACTTTTAAATGTCATTTGGTTTTGCCAATATAAGATGCCTTACAGTCTCCACACGTGCAAAAATAGACAAGCCAGGAACAATAAGGAATGGGGAGGAGATCTTTAGTAGGGAAATTTTTTTTATGTGTGATGTGGATTTAAAACTAATCTTAAATCCACTTGAGGGTAGTAACGACCAAGTATGCATTTAAGTTAATTTTCTAATGTTAAGTTTTGTTTACCAGTATAAGGAAGACATGGGTATATAGTAAGTTTGGGTACAGTTGGTATCCTAATTGGATTTGTGAGTTTCTTTGTTAGGAAAGTGTTGGTAATGTTTTCTAATAAGTGTTGTGGGTAGCAGTTATGTTTCAGAAAATTTCAGAGTTTAGATTACGATACATGGAGCACAGGTTGTGAGCTCTGTTTAGTAAGCATGTAACAAGGTTTCATTTTTTACGTAAATAGGCTAAAGCTATCAAAGTGTGTAAGGAGACCAGTGGACGTCTTTTTTCGGTAAATTCTGCATATTAGCTTTTTCCAGAAATATTAACAGTGCATCTAGACTTTAGAGATTTGTTTTTATCAAAATTAGTATCATTTTGGACATCTGAAACTTTTACAACAGAAACTAGTTATAATTTTGCTTTTCCATTTAGAAGTAATATATCTTATGATAAAGATGTTTTTTTGCATTTTTGATATCTAAAATAGTGAAAATTCAAGTGGTATGACTGTATAAGTAATGACTTTTAAAAGACGTTTTGAAAACAGGCGTACTGTTTACCTGTGTTGTAATTTTTTTCCTAAATATGGTTATAAATAATCATAATTTAAATTTAATTAAATAAACCAAAATATTTGTTATTACCTATTATTATTTTCATATCTATAATATTACTTGAAATAAAGTTATAAGCTTTGAAATCAGTGGATTATAACTTGACCAAGCTAATCATTTCAGAATATATTAATGTTATTTCAACTCCAATTTGTTTAGGTTATTATAGTACTATATGTGCAACAATGGTTAATCCAAAATATTATTATTATTATAATGAAAATATTTTTTCTAGCTAATAATACAGAAAATTTGGTCAGTGCTCTACAACTAACTTTTACAAAGTTAACTAGTATTCTTCTTTTCTATAAGGACCTCAATCCCAACTAGTTTGGGGTTGGGCAGTAATTTTGTAAGCCAAGAATTTTTACACCTGGGTAGTCTGGCAAAAAGCTTCAACAGATATTTCCTTTGCAACATCTCAACCAACAATTGGTCTAGTTATCAACACTATTTTCAAGTTTTGAACAACTTGACTTTCAAGATCTACATATCTACATGTGCCAATGTTTTTGTTTATCAACGTTATATTTTAAGATCTGTGCAAGAACTCAGCTAACAGATGTTTCCACATATAAAAGTTATCTTCAAATTTCTAGTTTATTCATTTTGTAAAGGTTTTCAAATTTTAAATTTATAACTTACAAAATGTTTACTTTACAAAAACAAATAATGTTTAAATTTAGGCTGGAAGAATATCCAAAAATACTAGGTTTTTACTCTGAATAAATATGTGTTTACCTAATAAATAAAATCAGTTGATTATTTTCCTCTTAGTTAGTTTTAAAGTGTTTGAGTAACTGCTTTGTCATAGATACAACACTGAAGGCCCCAATGATGTTAAAAATCATACTTTCATACAAAAAAGTGTTTTACAAAATATGCAAATGGCAATCTTCAGAAGAACTAACTGTATTTCACAAAATACTTTTAAACTTACGAATTATGAACCCAAATTACCTGACTCAAACATAGTGGTCATGCCCACCTCTTTCCACATAAATGTTTCAGCAATTGCTTTGTTATAGATACAACACGAAGGCCCCAACATTATCTTAGGCATGCTCACAAAGAAACCAGTGATATGGTATGCATGGGATGTATGACATCCAAAAGCTACAGGTAATGATACCTCTACCATACACAGGCTCATATTCACTAAACGCCATAATCAACAGAGTTTATCCACAAGTTCACCTTCAATGTGTGTTCAAGTCATTATTATCGACATGGGTCACGGGTCAAAGTCCATGTCATTATATTTGTAAAATTTTATTTAACTACTATTTTAAGTTGTAACAAGATCTGCTAATGCTTAAAATTTCTCAACTTTAAGTGCTGGTTGAGAAAAAACTGTGTTTGTAATGCAGTCACTTCCTTCAGATGGCCAAAGCACACAATACAGATGTTTTACATTACTTTCTGAAGTCCTTTATAAGATTTCTCCCCCCAAGAAACAGTTGTAGATATTTCCCTGGTTCAAGGTCAGCCATACTCACTTGTAAAGTCAAAGCTGTGTTGCTATGAAAAAACAGATTTTGCTCTTGAATGTTATTAATGTAAATGTAAGTGTTTGCTTTTGTCTTCATATAAGATGAAATGAAGATAAGTCCATTGTTCTCTCAAGGTGTCTGTCATAGTCATTTTATATGTATTTGTTTGATAGATATATTGCACTTATGTTTTACTTTTATATTTTAGTTAATTATGTATTATTTGGGTTTTAAAAATCATATTTGAAAGACTTAATAATTTTTTATAAGTTTAACTTGTTGCCTGGACTGTGAAAGTGTATAAATAAAATGACATCATTTGTGTGTGCAAAATATTAGTGAAGCAAGTTTCTGCATGGGAAACATATTGGCATAAATAATAAAAGACAAAGAACTAGAAAAGAAAATTAAAAATAAACTGTACGTGAAAAGATAAAGACAGGAAATTATGCCTACAAAAAATAAAAGTTTAAAAAGTATACTACAAAGAGTTAATAGGTACGTAAATAATTCTATTTCTTAATTTTAAACATTTCATTGCACTGTACATTGATGATAATAACTAGAGTTAGTGATATAGTAGAGAAGATGGAAAATAAAGTATAAACATTGACTTTTAAAACTTGTGTTCATTTATGAGGTTATAGAGATTATGCAAATCAAATGTGAAAACTGTAAAATAACAAATAGTATTTTTATACTTCATATTAAAATCACCTTGCAAGTGAACTATTCAATGTTCAATTGCAAACAAATGCATTAAATAACGAATTTTTGTATTTGAAGTAGTAGCAAAAATAAAAATTAAATATTTTATTAGTTTTTCTGAAACTACATATTTTTAGGAACATTCATGTCAAATTTATACAATTTCATTTATTAGTTTTATTTTTGGAATGAAATATAATGATAGGATCCTACAAACTGAATATGCAGTTGTCATAGCGTTATTACCATATTAGAATAATGCAGTGTTCAAATAGTTATGAGGATGCATACCAATATATCAGATGAAAGTAATAAATTAATGAGCCTATCAATTAGTAAATACCACTACTTTCCCAGCTCTACTTTGTACAACCCGTAAAGGAATAGTTGAGTATCAAGTGGTGAAAAGGAGAAATCTGTGTTCAGTTCAAAATTACAGATGTCTTTAATAGTGTAGACTGTAAAATTTTAAAACATCAAATGTTTCATTATATAAGAGAAAGCAGTCTTTTTCAGAGGTGTGAAACATTTCTGTCACTGGTAATGTTTCTAATATTTTGTTAAAACTCACACCCAAAAACAAATTTGATAATTTTGCAATACAGTATGATATGCAAAATTCTAGTTGCTTTGGCAGTTTAAGAGGCTAAAGATCAATTGAAATTCTCAAAAAGCCATTTTGGATGTCTTCTCTGAAACCAAGTTAAACATAACACTTATACTAGTAAAACTATGCTTTGTTTCAATGCTAAATAATAATAAATACCATGTGAAAATGTCAATTAGGATCAATAGTTAATATGAATTGAAAAAGGAAGCTTATAGTTTGGTCATAAGCAAGATGATCAGGTATTTAAACTGTAACAACAGGCTCGAGTGACTGATAAATTAATCTCTCTTTGCTGCAGTGCAAACAACTGAATTACAGATAATAAGTTACCAAAAGCATTCTCATACTCTCACTTAACTTAAAATATCATTATAAGCAACATCATTTTGAGAACAGTCACACTGCTGCTTTCAAAGTTTTGCATGATTATTTTATACTTAACAAACACTAATGTTACTTTCTCAAACTTAAAAAAAAGGCAAGAAATCTAGCTTCTGTATTCCATCAACATGTATAATAAATATTGTGACTATCACAAAGAAATGTACACACCCATTAACTTTGTATTTTTTTCTTCCCACTGAACTTTAAGTTAGAACCTCGTACTTGTTGAGAGCCTCAGTCACATTTTCACTTCTTTCATTTGTTATTTAATATAAAAATATCAAAGTTTTATCAACATATTATTTTCAGTAAAGGTTACACTAATACATCTATTAAAAATTTCTCATTAATCTAGAAAAATAAGTTATCAATGTTTTTTAAAATTACAAGGAGGAAATTTTAAAATATTATCTATCAACATAGTTTCTAAAAGCATTTTGATCCAAACTTAAAAATGACTTCTTTTATATCTTAGACTTTCACCTTTTCAAAGTTTAATGGAGTTATTAACCCTTTCCAATCAGACTTTTCAAAGTGCACATAACACAACTTTTTAGAGAGTTACATTTAAAATTTAATTAAACTACTTTAATATCATGGTATACAAATAAACTTGGCATAAAAATGCAGCTAATAAATCATTGATCATATTTTTAAGTCCTCATACATAAAGAACAATCCACCATGGAATTCAATAATCCAAAGTTGGAAGAAAATGGAGTTAATTAGTGGAATTAATTATTACAGAATAAACCAGACTAAAATATTTTAGCATATACAAAATGAAGTAAGAAATAATTTTATTGAAGAGTGTAACAAACTCCTCCTTCCTAAGAAATTGTAAATTTTGTGGAATAAATATACATATATTTTTTTACACAACTTATAAGCTCTTTATTATATTAGGAAATATTAAAAATCCTTAATCTCCCCTAGTATAAAAATTGTGACATTTTCTCTCTAGCTCTTCCTTCTTCTCTAATTTATTTACCACTCCGAAAAGTGCGGAATTTAACACAAGTTATTCTTTTTAAAATAGTTATTACTCAGGCAAATCATAATTTTTATAGCCTTCAATCTTATTTGATTACAGAGCCACAAATAAGATAATCCAACCCCTCTTACCATGCCCACCTGTCACATCCTTTCTTTCACAAACTGTCAATAGTTCTTTCTGAAATTTAATACTATATTATTCATAACCAATAAAAAGCCAATTTTAATCTCTAAAATGATGTATTATTAGGTTGTTTTCTGTACAGAGAATTGTCTATTTTGCTTCCAGTTCAAACTTTATTTCCACAGGAAACAGATTAAGGAGCTTAGCAGAATTTTTAATGTCTCTTATTGTCTGGTTAGAAACCCAGTAAAATGATAGTTATAAGACATCTGTTTTTTACATGTTATTATTCTGTGTACTTAGGTTCAGTATTTAAATAAAATATTACTTAATGCAGTAGTACCATTAATACGAAAAAGTAGGGTTAAGATTCATAGAGAGTTGACAGTAAAAACAAAAGGCCCAGGCAAGTACTGTATTTCTTGTTTTTCATGTATATTCGCTATTTTTTGTCATAAAAGTAACTAAAATATAGAAATTTCTTAGGTTACGTAAAGAATAATAATCATAAAAATTATTCACGATATATGTTCGCGAGGAGTTCATGCTTTATGTAATTCAAAAGAGTATCAAGAGTTGCGTGTTTATCAAGTGATTTACAATTTGTGTGACAGGATCATTAATTAGACACATTTAAAAGGCAATAAAACAATAAAATTAAGTATCAATAGATATATATACTTTTACTAGCTTTAAGTTATTTAGGATTAACAATTGTGTTTTCCTGTTAGAATTTGCAGTGATTCCAGAAAGAAAAAAGGGGCTATTTAGATTTCCTAACATAATCCTTGACTGACTCTGTAGAGTTATAGCATAGAAAATAACAGATAAAATATCAAGTTTTTCTGAAATGATTGTTTGTTTGTAATTAAGCACAAAGCTACACAATGGGCTATCTATGCTCTGCCCACCACGGGTATCGAAACCCGGTTTCTAGCGCTGTAAGTCCTCAGACATACCGCTGTGCCACTGGGGGGCTTCTGAAACGTGTGTGTGATATTTTTTTAGAAGGTTTTAGGGACTATACAGATGAAATTTGAAACTTTTCAGATGAAGAAAAGTATTTTTAACATGAAAATCCCTTGGCACTTGTAGCAGTCAACACTGACACCATATAATTATGGACAAAGTTTTAGTAAAAATGCCTGAATAAAAATTCTAAAGTTTTTTGTCTACAAGACTTTTAACGTCTACTGAAAGCTTGCTAAATTTTGTGGAGATTCATTAAGTACTTTTAGAGTCATAGTGGTTACATGGCAGTCAGAAGGGCATGTAAAATATATAAGCCCATTGCCATAGGGTTAATGCAATTATAAAATAGCAACAGAAAACCACTTACAAAAATGTATTTTGATATTTCAGGTTAAACTAGACAGAAAAACCTATCTGTAATATAACAATAACTTTCATAAATTTCTTACCTTCTGCAGTAAGTTATGAACTTTTTGAGTGTATTTAAACTCAATTCTCCTTCTACCGTTTTCTCATCTGTCACATTTGAATTCATGTGGATATTCATTACATGCTTGGCCAAAGTCTGAAAAGTGTAATTCAGTATTTAATATTAATCTGGTCATATTTTTGGTAAAGTGATTCTCTAGCCATCCAATTCATTTATATTAAAATTTTTAGTCATTTCCAAGATTTTCAAAAATGAGAAATATACCTGCAGATTTTTACTATACTTGAAAATTAACTTTTTGTGACTCCAATAAAGAACAACAAAGATTTGTAGTTTTTATTATTAAGAAACTTAAGATATCTATAACTGTACATTAAAAATGGGTGATGCAATATATAATTTAAACTGTATATACAAAAGACATTATATACACCTGGAAAAAAGTTAAGCACCCCCAAATATTTTTCAGGATTGCTTATTGAA